TTTTATAGTGGCCTCCCGCGACACGTCGCCCTTTGAATCAGGTGGAGTAAAAGTTATCAATCCGTGGCAACACGGCAAATGACCTAGTCTCGATTTTGGAGTTACTCCGATTTCTTGGGCGGCGTAGTCTTGGGTTACGCCGGTGACATTGGCGAAGCCGAGCAATCGACTATTCCGTTTGAGAAAGAGCTTGGCGCGTAGTTAATCACGCAGATGGTGCATCGTTGTGCACATTTAAATGCGGAACATTTGGTGCCGTGGGTGCGATCTTATACTTAGGTGTATTTTAGCTACACTGCTTAATTTCGGAAGCAATCATTCAGGCTGAAACGCTGATGAGTGCTGGCCTGCCAAGAGGGATTCGAACCCCCGACCACCGGCTTAGAAGGCCGGTGCTCTATCCAACTGAGCTATTGGCAGAAAATGTAAAGACGGGATTTTAATACATTTTAACTGCGTAGCGAAAGAAAACTTTTCCTTTTCAGATGAATCGATCTGTCGTCTGCTAGTTTGCAGCTTGGTACCTCTAAGCGCATGTTGTATTTCTCATGCATAGCAGTCGGAATGGGAGGATTCGAATATGGTATTACAATTGGAGTAGGAGTTGGTTCTCTTCAAGGTTCCTAAGACAATAGGTCTTTGAGGAGGGAGGGAGGTGGCCCTTTTTTTACTGTCTACTTCTATTGGTAAACAGGCGTTTGAATAACGGGGCCTTGATCGGCCTATAGGGGTGTTATTTTGGTTTAGTGCATCTAATAATTCTTGATGCTCTTTTTGCTTTTGGTATAATTTTTGAAACCGATTTTGATACTTTTTTTGGCAGGATTGCAGTGATTTTATTAAATTACCGCCTGCTTGATGATTTTTGAAAAGATATACGGGGGTTCTCATTGATAAGAAACTTTCTGTCACAGTCTCTTTCGTTTCTTTATTTTGTCCAGCCATATATATTTTTATAGAAAATTGCACTCTAATAGCAAACAAAAGTATTCCAGTTATCAATAAAATGCTGCTAAAAAATAAAGAAATTTCCATAGGCATGGAGCTAGTAAAACCCGTCATAGTTAAAGCAAATCCAAATATTGCCTCTAAAACTGATCTGTATAGTTCATTTGGAGGTTCTTCTGACATATCTTTGATGCACTTGGCTTCATTGAAGTTAATTTCTGTTTGAATGCTCTCTAAAATAGTATCTATATGATTTATATTTAAAATGCCTCGCCCTATTAAATATTTTAACTCTTCAAATTTTGTAAAATATTTTGATATTTCATCCGGGCTAGGATGCGATGTATTTTTAATGCTAACCTTTTCAATGTCTTCGATGCGTATTAATTTTTTATATCCTTGCATGATTTCTTTTTCAATAGTCTGGGCAAGTTCTTCCCCATAATATTTTATATTATCATCTTCTGTAAATTCGCATGCATTAACATACGCTATGTAATATTCTATATGCTCTTCATAACTTTCAATGAAATCAACTGATTCTTCTAGAAGAGAATATATTTCGGAAAATATATTCTCTTGTATATATGGTGAGTTAGCCGGCGAAATATTATGATTGAATGGGAGGCTTGGACTATTAAGAAATGTGCTTGCACTAGGTAGGGTTGGGCTATAGGAGTATGTACTTAAACTAGATAAACTAGATGCACTATTTGAATGGGATAGAGACATAGGGGTAGATATAAAAAAATCTTGCAGTTTTTTTAAATTTTCTTTTTCGGGACTATACGGTGCCAAGTACCTGGAAGTAAGCATGCACGCACTAAGTGCAAGGTATAAATAAAAATCTGTCAAATAATTACACATTTTTTGCCAAGATAATTCTTAATTTTCAATAAGAATTGAAAGTGCATATATAAGAATCTACGCAAGATCGCTCAGTCTATTCGAACTGGTAAATTGGAATAGGGCAGCAAAAATACTTATAATTGTCGTTTAGACCCATTTTTACCGTCCTCTTCATGATATATCCATGGCAACACGATGACTGGAAGCGCTTTGAGGCCCTACGTGGGAAATGGCCTCAAGCTATCTTGTTAGAAGGGCCTGCTGGTATAGGTAAAGCCCATTTTGCACAGCAGCTTGCTCAAGCCATCTTGTGCGAGGCACCTACCGAGCACGGGTATGCCTGCAAAAGCTGCGAAGCGTGTCTATGGATGGCGCAAGGTCATCACCCAGACTATCGCTTACTGGTGCCAGAGAGCGTGCTTGAAGCGCAAAAAGTAGCGCAAGGTTTAGCGGATACAAGCTTTGACGGGCAAAAAACGCCACTTAAAAAAGTATCTGCTGGAAAAGAGAGCAAAGCAGCGGTTGACTCCTCAGATAGCGCAAAAAAAACGGCAGCACCAAGCCAAGAAATAAAAATCGCGAGCGTGCGTGATTTACAAAATATATGCACGATGACCGCGCACCGCGCAGGCTGGCGTGTGATTGTGTTGTATCCGGCGGAAGCTTTAAATTTACCAGCAGCCAATGCGCTCTTAAAAACACTAGAAGAGCCGCCGGAGAAAGTAATTTTTATTTTAATAACGGCTAGGCTGGATCGAGTATTACCAACGATTATTAGCCGCTGCCGTCGCTATCCTATGAAAATGCCCACTGCTGAGCAAGCATTGGCTTGGCTCCATATGCAGGATATAGCACCACAGCGAGCACCATCTGCACTGGCCTGGGCTGGAGGCGCACCGCTTACAGCGCTGGGGCATGCAAAACAAGCACAAGAACAGAGCACGGCAGCAGCTTGGCACCAATTTATAGAACAATTAGCGGCAGGAAGCGGTTGTGATATTTTGGCTTGTGCAGATGCCTTGCACAAAATGCCTGCAGACGGTTTTATCAGTATGCTGCAACGCTGGCTATATGATCTAGGAGCGCTGCGCTTAACAGGCCGCTTGCATTATTTCCCTGATCATGGAGATGCTTTAGCTGCGTGCGCAGCTCGCCTAAACGTACCACGCTGGACCCAATATGTGCGTGCTATGCATGCACAGCGCGCCGTGGAGCATCATCCTTTGAATGCGCGCTTAAGGATAGAAGATGCTATGGCACCTTATCCCACTCTCTTTATTTAGATATTTAAACCCTCTGCCAAAGCTACTATGTTTGTTGATTCGCATTGCCACCTTAATTTTCAAAAGCTCGCAGAGCGTTTGCCAGAAGTACTGCAAACTATGCGCACCAATCAAGTAACGCATGCATTATGTGTGAGCGTAGATCTGGAGAGTTTTCCGCAAGTATTAGCGTTAGCGCAAGAGCATGCGCATTTATTTGCCTCGGTTGGCGTACATCCTGATGGAGAGTATGAAGGAGGGGCGAGCTATGAGCCTTCCATTGAAGAATGGGTTGAGCGCCTAGTACCCCTAGCGCAGCATCCTAAGGTGGTTGCTATTGGAGAGACCGGCTTAGATTATTATCGCTTGGAAGGGCGCTCTATCGATGAGATGGAATGGCAGCGTATCCGCTTTCGTGCACATATCCGCGCAGCGCGGATCGTTAAAAAACCACTTATCATTCACACCCGGTGCGCTTCAGAAGATACGATACGGCTGATGGAAGAGGAGGGCGCTAATGAAGTAGGGGGCGTGATGCACTGCTTTACAGAGAGCTGGCAAGTGGCCGTTGCCGCTATGGCTTTAAATTTTTACATCTCCCTTTCGGGCATTGTGACATTTAAAAACGCGCAAGGGGTGCATGAGCTAGCGCAACGCGTACCGCTAGAGCGTCTTTTAATTGAAACAGACTCTCCTTATCTAGCCCCCGTTCCTTATCGCGGAAAGGTCAATGAACCCGGATTGGTGATGTATGTTGCCCGCGAAATTGCTGCACTTCGTGGCATAGAGATAAGCGAGGTTGCAAAGGCAACCACTCACAATTTCTTTAATTTATTTAAGATTTCACCATTCTGAACCGTATTCTTATAAAGAACCTATGACTTTACCCCATATATTTAAAAATATGCTTTCAGAGCCGATGCATTCGGGCGTAGGCGCGGTCATTATGATGGTTATCATTTTGATCTTTGCTTTTCTTTTAATGCGCAGCGGGCTCGGCATGCTGCGTAATATAGCGCGCTCAGAAACGGGCCTCGCTTTAATATTGCGTTATATTGAACGTCCTGGGAAATTTGTATTTGTTCTATTGATTTTACAATTATTTATTTCAGAAATACCTAAAACGGCATCGTTTATGGTTATTCTGGGAGATATCAGTGTACTGGCTTTAATTGGTAGTTTGACCTGGTTTGGTGTGCGTTTTGCTAATGCGCTAGGTGAAATTTTTACCCGGCGGCGTATACGCAGAAAACAAAATGATGAGCAGTATGCACAGCGTATACGCACTCAAGCGAAGGTGCTGGTGCGTAGCTTAATGGCTATTGTCATAGTGCTGTGCATAGCGTCTGTTTTAATGACTTTTCCAAGCGTACGCCAAATTGGGGCAAGCTTGCTGGCCTCAGCTGGGGTAGCTGGTGTGATTGCAGGTATGGCCGCACGGCCTGTTTTAGCGAATTTAGCCGCAGGGCTGCAAATCGCACTCACCCAACCAATACGGGTGGGGGACCTTGTGATGGTCAAGGAAGAAGTAGGCACCATCGAAGAAATTGCAGGAAGCTATATTGTAGTACGCCTATGGGACCAACGCCGTTTAGTCGTGCCTTTGCAATGGTTTATTGAAAATGTCTTTCAAAATTGGACACGCACTAACCCTCAAATGACGGGTACCGTTTTTCTGTGGGTGGATTATCGTATAGATCTCGATGCGCTACGAGCAGAGCTAGCGCGTTTGTGTCAAATAGCGCCTGAGTGGGATGGAGTATTACAAATTCTACAAGTATCAGATGCCAATGAAAAAGCCATGCAATTGCGTATCTTGGTGAGTACTGCACAGGCCACTCAATGCTGGGATTTGCGCTGCCGCATCCGCGAAGGTCTGCTCAAATTTATTCAGGAGCACTCCCCAGAATCTTTTCCCACGCTGCGAACGCAGGTCAGTATACCCAGCGGGTCGCAGCCGGCTAATTGCCCAGATGAATGCACTCCAGCTAAAGAGCCTGCTGCTCCGAATATGAATACACAGCCTGCTGCACCACATAGCCCTTAAGTACATTCATAATCAAAATAAAACGCCCTCTAAGGTAGACCTTTAGAGGGCGTTTTTTGTAGGTGGGTACGGAGGAACTCCGTATGCGTTCACTAGAAAATGCGGGTGAACGGTAATATGGAGTTCACCTCACCCAAGCTATTTTATAAATTCAATTTTGATACTTTTGTGCCTTCTAGCGTGAGATTAGCCATTAACCCACTATTAGTCAGCGCAAAAGCGATCACTGGCCGTTTTGCGGTAAGGGTATCAATGGTGCCATTCGCCCCAATTTTTAACACTGCAACCGATGCATCGCCGCCAACCGACCAACC